CCCTGAAGAAAAAAAAGGTTTGTTTTAGTTTCTTTCTAAATATTACAATTTTTTCCTAGAAGCTTTTAATTTTTGCACGTTTTATTACTACTCGGTGAAAGGGAATTAGCTTTCTTCTACTGAAGTTTCAGCTATGAAATTGGCTTTAATAAACTATGTAATTATTTCTTCTGCAGGGAAAATATTTTAAATGGAATGTTTCTTTTATAAGGGTGGAGGGGTTTTTTACAAATCATAAAATTATAATATTTCTGTTTTGCTTTACAGCATTTGAAATGTTTTGAATGTTCAGAATTGAGTGTAACCAAGCAACAGTTTTTGCTCTTTGTAAGCACCCATGAGCTGTAAGATGCTACAAAAATGTTCAAGTCCTGGGCTGCAAAAGGCCCACATGTAATGTTTTCCCCATTCTATGTCATCTAAAGAAAGAAGTACCAAAATTTCTCCTAAAGAACAAGTAACAGATGTCTTTCATTAGTAATTTAATTTCTTCTCTTAATAAAACTCAGTTGTGTGAAAAGCATAATATATTTTACTCCAGCTCTACCCTGTTTGGTGCCACAGGAGTGCAGAACGAGTTCCTGGCGGTGGAACAGGCTGAGAGGGGAGTCCCAGGAGGGTGTGAGCAGAGGGAAAAGCATCAGAGCTAGAGACCACACTGACAGTATTCACAAAAGCTTGCGACCACCATCTTTGCATATTTATTAAATAAAGAAAAGCCAGGTATTTACTGTGGTTCCTGCAACACATAATGTCAGAATAACACAGAAAGGGAAATGATTGAAGTCTCTTATAGGTAGGCAGCAGCATCTGTCCTCTTGCATACATCAAACACAGCTTAATAACTTCCTATTTACTGCTTCATGGCAGAGGCCCAGTAAATAAACAACCTGACTGAATTAGTCTATTTTTCTGCCTCTGTCCTGTATAACAAACCTCTTGAACCACACTTAATGTGAACAGCAAATTTTGCGTTGCACGTGGAGGTCTCTCAGCACAGATTAAATTAGTTATAATAAAACAATTAAAATCTATTTGCCCACAGACAGGAGGAAATGAAGGACCTGGGTGAACCATAGAAAGGTAAAGGGTAGGTTGTCAGGACACCAGGAGAGTAAACAGCAGAGCTGTGATTCTCAGGAGCAAAGCAGGGTCAAACTTACTGTGAGATAACTGCACGGGAGATAATAAATCAGGGGTCCATGTTGCACACCAGATGGCTGTGCCATGCAGGAAGGCACAGTGGATCATGTAACTGTGGTTGTTTCTAAGGATTACTGATTCAGCCTGACTTCACAGGGATATCCTAACAAATAAAATCTTTATGGCCTCTTCCGCTGGTGAACATTTTCATCTACTGTTTAAAGACAGGACCACATGTCTTAGCATTTGCATTGCTCCTGATACAAATTAATTTAAGTTCACCCAGTTTCAGCTGGTAAAGACTTTTTGATTATCTAGTACTGTAAAGTTGCTTCACAGCATTTATTGTAGATACTCCAATGGACAGACAGGCCATTGTTCCAAGCTTTAACTTGGTTGAATCTCACAAGTGTTCCAGGCACAGAGGCAAACACACTTAAAAACTCCTAAACCTATTAAGTTGTCTTTCAAAATTGTCCAGGCAACAGAATTTATTTATAAAACTCTGCAATCATTGATTCAAAACAAGGTTTTCTTGTTCTGCTTTTCTGCTTTGTCCTCTTTGAACAATTTTCTTTGGAATGTTTTCGTTGTGCTTAGGAGTCAGAGATTTCCTGGGGCTTCTAATAAAGGCATTTGATTTCCACTCTCCACATACTTTTACAAGTCCAAGGATTTTGAGGTTTGACATTAACTTAAGAGATCTGGAGATAATCAGCCATGGGGGTGAAAAGCCTGAGTTATGCAAATTATTTGTAAAATGTATAGAAAGCGAAAGAAATGTTCCTCTAAATGCAGTTGGTGTGGGACAGAGGCTTTGTCTCAGCACAGAATATCTGTGTGCTCCACTTAAAATTTATGACTTTGATTGAAACCTGTAAAGGGGTGATCTGTAAAGTATTCCTGCTATCCTACACTTCCCAACAGGTTTATTACCATTCGTTTATAAAATGAACAGTCTAACGAGCAGTGGTTTAGATCACAGCTATCAAAGTCTGGTCATTTGTCAAGATTAGTTTCCTGTTGTGAGATTGCCTTGTGCAAAAGGAGTGCATAACCTTGAGTTCCTCTTGGGAAGCTAAAAAAATATCTATAAATACTTTATAAGATAGATGTAATGAAGATTTTATAATCTCAGAATTCAATCCAACAAGGCCCTCTGTGTGTGTGTAGTGCATGTTATAGTGCAGAGAATACCTGTGTACAGAGGAGGGAATTTTCTTGACAGTTGGCAAATTCTAGATACGAAGTCCATGCAGTATTGTCAGGGCAGTTTAATGTTCATTTGAATGCATTAATACTACACTGATGTCAGTGTAATTCGTTATAGCTAAAAGGCTGCCTTGGGAAGCACTGTTGCAAAAGCACCAGCTTTCTGGGGATAGTCAATTGCTAGTAAATAACACAAAATGTTTTTTGTTCATGTTAGACATTTTTATTTTGAAGAAAAATTTAAAAACCCAAACACTCAGGCAATAGGACAGCAAAGGTGCTGCTCAGGGAAACTCCACAGGACAAGAAGGTTATTCTCATGTCCCAGGTAGAGGGAAGGTACAGGGTATTTATGCTTTCCTGGGCTTTCCTCCTTGAAATTATCTGTAAATGGTGTTACAACTGTGTTTTCCCTGTCACTGGATGGTGGCACATTGTGTGGTTTACTTGGGAGAAAACCAGAGGCAGCCGCAGCCCTACCTGGGGCGATCACAGCCCCTCCAGGGCCAAGCCCCCGCTCTGCGCGCCCGCACCGCCCCTCTGCTCCCGCGGCATCGCCGCCCCCCGGCTCGGAATCCCCCGGGAAGGCTCCCCGTTCTGCCCTCGCTGGGGTGGGAGGGTGGGCACCTGCCCGCGGCGATGGGCGGCGGGACAGGGTCCCTGCAGTCCGTTTTTAAACGTTTCCCAGCCCAGCAGCGCTGGCGGGACACGCGAACGGCTGCGGGGCCCGAGGGCGGCCGGAGCCCCCGTCCCGGTCCGAGCGGGGCATCCGCACGTCGGGGCCGCCCCGACCCTCCCGGCAGCGTCCCAGCCCCGGCGGGGCGGGCGAGCGTGGGTGCGGGAGGACGGTGCCCTCGCACCAGCCCTGCCAGTCCTGGGGTATGCCCCGTCCTAAGGACGCTCCTGGGACGGAGGGGCCAGGCTTGGTTGAATGAGTCAAATAGGTTTAAGCAGTTAAATAGAAACAACTTTTTTCAGCGCTCCTTTTTTTTTTTTGCCCTTTGTGTGTTAATCCTTTCAGATATGTTATTGTGTAGAGATAAAAATATTTTCTGCTTAGGAATTTGCTAGCTAAAGCATTGTAAGTAAAACCTTGTGGACAAAGCCAACCGAGTGTATGAAATAAGCCGGCCCGTTCATGGCAGTGCCCGAGGGTCCTGTGTGGCATCAGTTTCCTTTTGATCAAGTTAATTCATTTCATACCCCCAAAACAAACCACTCAGTCCACCTTGCACAGCTGTTACCTTGAGGTTGTGGTTGTACAAAGGTGTGCACTGAGCCAGCCAGGCTCCCAGCGCAGTCGCTGCTTGGTACAGCTGGGGAACCCCCCAGTTCCCGGTTCTCAGATGTTCACTGAATGCTGTGAGCAACCACACTGACATTTGCTTTTCCCTCCTGCCCACTCTGACTCCAGTCCTTTGTTGAGGGCTTGTGACTGCCATTTTCCTGCACTTCTCAGCTCAGACAAAATGGAGGCTCTGGAGGAATGAGTAACTACTACAGTCTCTGTCTTCTAAAATCAAAGAAAATTGCCTTTTTTGTAAAAAATTGTAATTTTGATGATGAAAAAGAAAGATCAGTGGACCCTGCACTAAAAGGCAGAATATAGTTTTTTTCCTGTGAACACACAAGTGCAGTTGTGTTCATTTCCTAGCCGAAATGTAAATGTTCACACACCTTGCACTGTGATGTATTGCCTTAAAAGACACTGAATTTCAAATCATCAGCCCACTGTGTGACATAGGGATGTAAGTTAGCGATTTGTCTTTATTTGAGGCAGCCCTCTTCTGAAAAGCTCACTTAGGAGATTCCCAGCTGACATTAGAGAAGCAAAATAAAATTAATCTAAATAATTCTAACTTTATCTTAGAAAATTAATGATGGATGAAAGAGGAGGTTTATAGAGGTTTAATAAGAACTAGTCTGGATACAGTGTGTGTTCTAGAGTCTGTGATTATAGTGGTAATTTAGCAGATTGTATCACTGCTTATCTCTGCCAAAGGATGTTTCACACCATTTAAAATGCACAGTATTCCCTTCAGAGACAGGTTGTTCTGGAATAACTCAACATCCGAAGAAAAGGCTTCTTATTGCAGTCCTCTCTTTATCGATTGCATGTGTGCAGTCGCATGTGCGTGCATCGGCTTTGCCTCAGCCAGAGCACTGAGTTTTCTGCTCATTTCTGTGTTCGTTTATCAGTGTCCTCAGAGACAGACAATACCAAAAATGGAAAGCCATGAAATCTGTTCAGAAAAGGGTTTAAGTGCTGAAACCAGAGAGCCTGCATAAAACAAAGCATGTGCTGGTCCGTTCTCTAAAAGGTAAATTAAAATACATTTGGATTTGGGCAAGTTATCCAACTCTGAGAGCTCCCTTTTGTTTCTCATTTTGAAGAGGAAAAAAACATTGCGATAAGGACAGATCTTAGTGGGCTTTATCCAGCAAAGGCGATTTGGGGAATCTCAAGACCAAAGGGATTGAGATTTGAATAAATTGCATGCCTGTGATGTTTCCAAGCCTAAGGACGAGAGTCTCATGGTGTGCAGGAGCATGAGCCAGGCTGATCCGTGCAGGTTTTGCTGGATTTAGATCCACGCAGGGTATGATCTGACACTCCCTTTGACTGTGGTACCTCTTCCTTGCAGGCTGTTTGCTGCCAAGTGCAGCGGCTGCATGGAGAAGATCGCCCCGACAGAGTTCGTGATGCGAGCCCTGGAGTGTGTGTATCACCTGAGCTGCTTCTGCTGCTGTGTGTGCGAGCGCCAGCTGAGGAAAGGGGATGAGTTTGTCCTCAAGGAAGGGCAGCTGCTCTGCAAAAGTGACTATGAGAAAGAGAAGGACTTGTTGAGCTCGGTCAGCCCAGACGACTCAGACTCAGGTGAGCTTTTCCCCCACCTGCCCTGACTGGAAAAGCTGCGTTAGTTTGAGCAGCTTTCTTATATACATCCATTTTCACATCCACTCTGTCTATATGCACATGCCACCCATGCAAATTCACAGGCACAGCTGAAAACATCCCTACTTGCAGTCTGCTCTCCCTGACCTGATTCCCTTCCTTAACTTGCTGCTTAGTAAAGGACAAAATCCTTTTGTTTTCATCGAAGTATTTTTCTGCAAGATCATAAAACATGAATCAGACTGACTTCAGCTACCCGAGGTCTCACTCAAGTGAGTCCTCAGTATGCTGTTCTCCACAGACATTCTTCCATCCATTAACGTATTTTCGGGGGATCTTCTGCACATACACTTCCAGCACTGAGCTAGGGAAGTGGGCACAGCAGTAATATGATTCTCGAGAGGATTCTCTCTGCCAATCACAAATGGTACCTTTAAGAAAAATTACAAGTACAACACAGAAGTACTGAAGAGAGTCTGAAAGAAACCGAGATGTTGGTTTGTGCCATCATAATAGCACACTTGTTTCCCAAGAAAATGTGTCGGAAAATCAATAGTTACCATTCCATTACATGTACAAATGACATGAATGCTTACCTCTGGTTTATGGGAAAATGTGTTATTCCATTTTAGCTAAGAGCAGAAATTATCCTTAGTCTCTAATCTGAGAGCCATATTGTCCACATGGCTGAAATTTGTATTTCTGTGTCAGGTATGGCACAGACCAAAGGTCTCTGCAGCTTCAGCAGTGCGTGCAACCGGGATCATTCTTGGAGAAGTTATGGTTATTATTATAGCAATAATTATATTATTATTATGTGTCAGTTATTGCCATAATGTGTTTGCAGGACCTTGAATCTCTGCTGGGTAAATCTCACATCACAGAGTTTCAGCTCTTGGTGAACGTGCCGTGAGTTTCCTCCTCACCCATCACCATGTTGTTCCACCTGCCAGCTCCAGCATCCTGCTGGGCACCTGCCCCGTGTACAGCCAAACCCCCTTAAGCAGCTGGAGCCAGATCATTCTTGGCTGGGGCTGGGCATAGACATCCTCCCATAGATGCCAGCACTGGCAGCTGTTTGACATGAGCTTTGGGCAGGGGTGGGCTCCTCTTCACGATCAGGTCTGGTTTGTGATCAGCAGTGAGCAACCACAGTAGCACAAACCAGCCTTGGTTTCAATTTCATTTCCCTTTGGCACAAGGGGGAGTTTCTTACTCCCAGAGACGCTTTTTTTCCCTCATTACTCTCTGTTTGCCAAACCCAAACCTGAAAAACAAGCTGACAAGTTAAATAGGTTGTTTGTCTCCCATTGTCTAACACACTGAAAACACTGATCTCCCAGGGGCCTGTGTGAGAGCACACGGTCTGCAGAGCCCTGGCTGAGAACGTGTCCTGCTTCAATCAAATATTTATCCACTGGACATAAAAGTACTCTCCTATGAGCAGAATTAATCCTCACAAACCTTTCCTTAGAAATGGCACACTGGAAAGTTAATAATGTCATGGTTATTAAAATGACTGAGCTTCTCTTTAATCATTAGGCCAAAGATGCTTATTAAAGTAAAAGGTGATTAGACTGCTAGGTGCATAATAATCAGACCCTAAAATGAATTAAAGTCTAATTTTTTGATTCCCCACCTGTAATCTTTCAGAATATAAAAATGTCAGTGTGCTTCTTCATGTTGAAATCCCTATAATAATGTGATACTGTTTTCTGGAAGAAAAATCAGTAGTCTGGTCAAATAAAATATGCTGATTTAAGGTTGATTTTCACAACAAATTTGTACTTACCCTTCAACCTTTGCCACTGCAATTGAGATTTCCCAGGACGATATACTAACACATGTAGTATCACCAGATTGTATGAACATTCAGAATTTAATTATAGAAAACGTAAAGAATCTGTTCGGTCTACACAAGCATATAGATACTTGTATGTATTTACTGAAAAAGAGAAGTTTATGCTTGTACATCCAGACACATTATAATGTGGACACAGAGGAAGAACAGCAATGTTTTCTGTGGGAAATGGAAATGAGATGGCAAAGATTATATTTAATATTATTTCTAGAGCTTCAAAAAATTCAGGACAATAACCGGAATTTGCACTATATTTAGTTATACAGGCTTTGAGATATTTGTGTGGTACTTACTTTGTGCTGTTTTGCTGCTGTAGTGATGCAGGCAGTAGTACCTGTCTGCAGATAATGCTTCAGGAGAAGCTGGAGCTCAGCTGCTAAGGGGAAGGTGTGTATCTGGTGGTGAGGTTGGAGCAGGTGAGCACATAAAAGACCAAGTGATGCTGGAAGGGCATAAAGTCTCTCTCTACCTGATCCCTGGAAATATTAAAGTACATTCTGAATTTCTATCCCCTTATCAGTCCCACTTTCTCAATTAAAAATTGAACACATTTTTATGCTTTTGTGCCATTTGATTTAGGCAGAGCACACAAATCTAAGATAGTCTCTTCCTGCCTGCCGCTGATTTAGGTATGCAAATAATCATGGGATAATAGTTGAACCTGTTGACTGAAGAGCAGTTCTCAAACATCCTGTTTTCTTGGTGAAACAAGTGCAATTGTATATCCTGCTTTTCACTAGTTAAAAGTGATGATGAAGATGGAGATGTTAAGCCCACTAAAGGCCAAGTAACCCAAGGAAAAGGAAGCGATGATGGGAAGGACCCAAGAAGACCTAAGCGACCAAGGACAATACTTACTACACAGCAGAGAAGAGCATTCAAAGCATCCTTTGAAGTGTCTTCCAAGCCCTGTAGAAAGGTAGGTGCTTCACCAGGGACCAAATCAGCTCTGACTCCAGACCACAGCCCCAGACAGCCCCTGTCCCTTCCCAAGACAGCAGCAGTTCCCGTGGGGTGAGAGCAAAGCACTCTTTTTGCACAGAACTGTTTTATGGGTAAAATAAAAACCATGAGATGACTGAGCGTCATTTTCCTCAGCTCAGACTGTCTGTTCAGTACTCATGGAACTGGTGGCAACATCAGGGGGAGAACTTGAAAAAACTGTGCAAAAATATGAGGAATTTTTAAAAGTAATTCCATACATGCAATTTTTTGTTTTAAGTACAAATGTTCATCCTAACAAAACTGATTAGTAGTTTGTTTTGGTTAACATATAAAAAATTGCATCATTAAGTATTTCCTCCTGCAGGTCAGAGAAACACTAGCAGCTGAAACAGGGCTCAGCGTGCGAGTCGTCCAGGTCTGGTTTCAAAACCAAAGAGCAAAGGTAGGTTGTTTATCATATTCTCAAAAGTCAAATGCAGGTTATGCCTCAGCACAGGCTCTTGCCCTGGATGTATCTCACACTGTGGAGGTCCCATGGCTGAGCTCTGCAGGTTCTGCCTTGCACTGCTCTCTACGTCCACACTAGAAAGGCAACTTCCGAACACAGCCACTCTTGCTCAAAGCAGCACAGGGTTGGGAGTTAATTTTGCATGCAAATCTGAACGGGAAACTGAGATGTTTAAGCTTAGAATTGAAACTGAACCCACAACAGTGTGTGCATGAGTATAAATGGTCTGTGTTTACTGATAAGGATGTTTGCAGAGAGTTTTGCAAGGAAGCAAAATTGTTGCATTCAGAACCATGAGATTGTTCTGTTCTGCTCTTTTTCAGATGAAAAAGCTGGCGCGAAGGCATCAGCAGCAGCAGGAGCAACAGAACTCACAGCGACTAGGACAAGGTAGGGGATTTGTGATGAAGCAAAGTGAGAGGGAAGGAATCTGCAGGTGTCTGGAAGTGCCATTCCTGCACGATGCCTTAGTACAGCCATCCGGGTGAAGTGCAGGTCTGTGGGTGAGGTGTGCCATCAGCAGTGGTAGCACACAGACGGGTGCCTGAGTGCCCACGCCAGGTTAGCCTAAGTTCCCTTGATGGGGCCAGAGCACAGAGTTGCTCACACAGAAGCTGTTACCTCCTTTCTAGAAAAAATGTGGTGTATGGAGGCACTTCCACTGGAGGAAACCTCCATGAGGCTTGATCCAGATAGATCCTCCAGTTGGTTTTCTCCTGCAGTAAGGTGCACCGTGCTCAGCTGGAAATCTGCAGGGGTGTCAGCATTGCTGCCCCAGGCAAGGCATGGAGAGCCCCTCCTGTACCTCCACAGGTGGCTGGACCCTGGGGCAGGCACTGCACAGAGGCACCAGGGCATGCCCTGCTGCTCTGTGGGTACTCTTGAGTGTCTTCAGCTCCCAAGGCCTTGCAGTCTCAAATCCTCTTCTTTACTCAGAGCCAGAAGAACTGGGACCAACAGAAGTTAGAGAATAACTAAGCTCTGTCACACATAGTACAGACTTTGGAAGGATAGGGTCCAGCACCCAGGAGCTCCAGAAATGATTTAGTGAGAAATTAAAAGTCTTTCAACTTACTTGCTCAAGGTTCTACTCTCAGACAAAATTTGGAAAGCTCCTCTGACTGACAGGATCCCCCTACCTGTGTTTGCTCAGGTTCAGTGTTGCCTCTAATGCTGCCCTGGTCCCCAGCAATGATTCTTCCTCTTCTTTGCTTTGCAGAAGTAATGTCCAACCGAATGGAAGGGATGATGACATCTTACACACCACTTGCACCACCACAGCAGCAGATTGTAGCAATGGAGCAAAGCAGTTATGGCACAGACCCGTTTCAGCAGGGTCTTACCCCTCCACAAATGCCAGGCGACCACATGAACCCCTATGGTAAGGCATGCCTCATTCTGCCACATCCAGAGTAGCAGGGTCTGTATGCTTCATCACACACCACAAGGCCAGCAGCATTGCTGGCTTTTAGTATATTTTTTCTGGAATTTGTACCAGGGAATTTGTACCAGTCAGTTTTGCATGTGTAATTTCTTGTACACATAAGGAGGTAGAACAGAGCTCATCTCAAGCTCTTGAAATCATATTTCACAGTATGATTCTGATAAATGGTAAAGCAAGAAACATCACCTCTCCAGCTCCACTTTTTTAAACCGCTGTCCAAGACATTGAAAAATAAACAGTGCCAAATTCTAGATCCCTCACAAGTTTTTCCTTTTTTCTTAGAAGCTTTGAGAAAAAAGTGCCTTAAATAAAGAGAAGTAATCTATTCATTCCAAAATGAATAAGCAGCCCTGTAAAATCACGCAGATTGGATGTGTGGATTTGTTAAAGAACAGTTTTTGAGCTACTAAGAGCTGGGTTACCACAGGACGTTTCTCCTGCGTGGTTTTATTCTCTGTCCCATATCAAGATGATGGTTTGCTTTCACGATTGCTTGACCACACATCAGAGGCATTACAAGTGCTGAATGCCCAGTAATTGATTCTGGACAATTGCAGTGTGGCATTTAAAAAGAATTTCTGAGGATATTTCAGACTGTGATTCTCGGCCTTGCAGTAGCCCACAAGGGCCTGTTTCTGACTCTTTTCTGCTGACCAGGACGCTTCACTGTAGAGGCTCACGTGTGCATCACTGTCACAAGCACAGCATGCACAGGCCAACAGGAAATCTGCTTTGGGTCTGTGTCAGTAGTTTTGCCACTGAGACAAGTCAATGCTGCACACCAGGAAATTTGGGAGGTCCTGTAAGGAGCTGAGGGCATACAAAGTGCCCTCAAGCATTATAGATGACTTGTGATTTTGTTGGTTTGCTGGGTTTTCTGAGTAAAACTTCTTGGGAGGCAGGTTCTGTGCTCTGAAAAGAGTGCAGAGGATGGCAGAAAGCCCTTTTAAACAAGTGTGTGAGGAAAAGAACTGGACTAACATTTTGTTAAAGCCTCCAGCACTTGAGCTAGAGGTTTTTCTGATACCTTTGAAGTTGAAGTAAGCTGAAATCTTAGTTGCTAAGGGAAATAAAAGGTGCTGTTCCAAACTAGCCCTGAAAGAGTGGAATTTTCTGAAAGGAGAGCACGTTTTTGATTGTAGCTCACTTGAGGCCAGGGAAGCTGGGTCTTCTCCTGGGTCCTGTCACAGTGGTAGAACTGGTTTTTGCCTTGTGTGTAAATGAAGACCACTATGACTATGGCTCTTAGACCATGCTTCCCTGTCACAGGCACTTGGTATCTGGTCCCACCTTCCTCAACAGCCCTGGTGCCCCCAGGAGTGCCAGATCCCAGCCCTTGGAGAGCTGGGCACCTGCTCCTCCCTAGCACTGTTTGCTCTCGTTGTCAGCCGAGACTACCTTTTGTGCTGCTGACTGAAGCCTTAATTAAATCCTGGCAGGTTTGGGGGGCACTGCTGCCAGCTGGCCCCCATGGATTGGTTTTTAGTCCAGGTCATCATAGGTCAGACCCTTAGAGCCAAAGTACACATGATAAGGTTAACATGTGATAAGAGAACCAGGAGCGTTCCCAGTTGCTGCAGCTGCAGCTTGTGAGCACCCGTGAGTACTGCGTCCTCCCCTGGCTGCACAGCATCAGCTTAACATGTACGTTTCATTTGCAGGAAATGACTCCATTTTTCATGATATCGACAGTGATACCTCTTTAACTAGCTTGAGCGACTGTTTTCTTGCCTCTTCTGAAGTTAACTCCATGCAGGCTAGAGTAGGAAACCCCATTGACAGGCTGTACTCTATGCAGAGCTCCTATTTCGCCTCATGAAAATAAGAAAACAAACAGCCGGCGTGTGTTTAGCCAGTGACTTTTCCAGTGCAGACTCTACAGCCATATGTTGCCCAGCTCTTCCTTCACAGTGACTCTGCTGCCTCTGGACTGCAAAGAGCATTTTTTTAGGAAGACTGTCTCTGTTTGCATATATGTGTATGTATGTATATATACTTTAATACCTACCTACCTACATACATATATAGAGAAACAAAACACATCCACCCATACCCTTGATTCCCAGCCTGCACCAGACCACGAGACAAGCACGGAAGGAACAGAAGAACCTGCTCGTCCTCAGCCTTTGATTTGGTTTGGTTTGAGCTCGTCATCTTAAAGGAAATGGATTTTGTGGAAAGCTAGACCTTTTCCTCCTTTCTCTCTTCCTTTCTTTTGGATGTTTAAACTTTTTTTTTTTTTTAAAGCCGCTGATACTGACATCAGTTGACCATATGACAAATAAATCAAAGAAACTGGAGATTCCTCCCTTTTCTTACTGCATGATTCATACTATGTTGTGGATAAATTGCCATTTGAACTGTGAGAAGTTAATGTAAATGTGATGTTCAACATTTGTTTCCTTTCTACACTTTTTCTACATAACCTAGATCTGCTCATTAGTTTATAGCCCTTATGCATATGATACTGAGGAAACTGGTTAACAGTATTTGTGGAGAAAGCCAGTGATTTCAGAATAAGAAAGGTCTATGACTCTGGAGAGGACATGCATGTTAGGGACAGAGGCATTTAGGTTAGCACTGATCTTAAATATTTAAAACTAAGGGTGCTTATGAGACAGTTTTATTTAATTTTTTTTTTTAAGTATGAGATTAAAATATTTACATTTGTTTGTAAGTTTTGCAGTGCCAAATTTCAAGCCTAGACCACAACTGGCAAACAAGTGTTTGTTCCTTCTGTTCTGTTTATTTATGTTTTGCATGAGGCATAAATATGCTGTGCTCTATTGTCCATCTGGAATAATTAAGCACTCCTTTAGTTAATTATCTTGCCTCAGCAAGAATCGAGGATACACAGTTCTAACCTGAAACACCAGAAGTCCTGAAATGTGCACCAGCTGCGAACAGGAAAGTATGAAAGAGCTCACGCTGGGAAGTTCAGGTATGTTGAGCTGGAGTCTGACCAAGTCCTGCAGATCCTCCTGCTGCCAGGACTCCTGGCTGTGGCTCCAATCACCCGGGCAGTGCCAGCGCCAGAAGAACAGGTATGCTGAAGGAAGGGGATGTCCCAGCTGAAGTCTGATTGTCTCTGATGTTGAAGTTTGAGCATATGTCATATAGATTTTTGTAGGGCATAAAATATCATAAATAATAATAGTATAGCTATAAATATTGCCTGGTGATAATTATAATGTGGAGAGGCAGACAAGTACAGTCATGGCTCTCAGTGGAGAAAACTTCATGGGGAAAATTTGCCAGGGTAATATCAGTAATTATAGGGTGTGTTCAAAAAAGAGCTCACGGGGAAAGATTGGCAGGATAGGCACTTTCTTAAATAAATACCTTTAATATATTGACCATAATAGCTGAAAAACAAGTCCAAAGCTCTGGTTAATCTAACTCCTCCAGGCTGAGGACTGGTACAAGGCCAGCGCTGCAGTGTCCCTGTGGGGCTCAGCACCTTCTCCGGGAGCGTGGGACTCTGGGACTGCCTTGGAGGGGGAGGCCAGAGCAGGACCCCTCAGCCTTGGCACCCAGGGTGGGAGGAGCATTGCTGGGGGCACTGTGTCCTCGGCCTTAGGGGGGTGATCGTGCTGGGAAGTCTGCATCACTGATGGAGACAGGTCCTCCAGGTGTCCCGGAGGCGAGAGTAGGAAGGTAGGATGATGGATCCAAGGGAAAACATGAGATCGTTTTCCGATGGCAGGGTAATGTGTACCGAGTATGCTGGAGGTTTCTTGAGAAAGTCCAGTTTTATCTGCAGGATAAGCACATGGGTTCTCACTCCGGAGAGAAGGACAACACCATGGAGGAGGCTCTGTGTGTGCGTGGTGCAGGGGCACAGAGCACAGCCCAAGGCCAACCCTTCCGCTGCCTGCCACACACAGCCTTGCTCAGGGAAGGGACTGGTGGCTCTGTGAGGGTGCTGGGGATGCTCCTGTCCCTGTCCCTGCAGGTTTCCATTGCTGTTTTCCCCAGGGAGGTGGTCCATCACATCCATATGCTTTGTCTGGCAACCATTCCCTGATTTCTGGCAGGGATGTGGTTTTCACTTGAGGGTTGTGAGCCCCTCGATGTATTTCGAAATTGAAAGGATCTTCTTTTCTTGCCCATCCCACTCAATTATTTTTCCCTTTCCCTGTGTATCAAAATAAACAACAATTTCCTTTCTCTCTGCATGATAGCAAACATCTAAAAAACTCAGGTGATCCTCACTGCTTGCAGGGCAGAAGGCAAGCAGGTTTCGTATGGCACATGTAAAGATTTGTCACCACCAATCTCAATGGATTCGTCATTTCCCTCCTCACCCCTCTACTGTGCTACTTTAGAGTCATAGAAAATGTCTTCACCCTCTCAGACATACCAGTTTATAGACTACTCACACAGGCGCAACCTTACTTCATATTTCATTACTGGCAGGATGAAAATGGCATTTTTAGTGTTTACAGGGACTTGTATGAGAACTCTAATGTGACCTACAGTTTGGAGAACTGCCTTGTCCCAACTCTACCTCTGCGTCTGGGTTGGATGTTGAAAAAACAATCCATCTCCAAGGAAAAAATCAGATATCCCATTTTATAGATGAAGTAACCATCATAATTTGCTGATTTTGGATTACTTGGACGACTGTTTGCCACCTTTTTTTTTTCCCTTTTCATTTCTTGTACATACCATCTTCTTTCCCTTGGTGTGTTGTATGGTGATGCCTTAGCTGTTTGTTGCCCCATGTTCTGCCACATTTGGAACCACACACACAGCACAGTCAGGCCCTTGGCATGTGTAACATTTTCCATGCCATGGTGGGCTGCTGCTGGTCCAGGGAAGGAATGCATAGCCAAGGATTTCCAGTGGGCCTGTTATAGCTGGCAAAGGCCAAAGTTCATTAAAGCAAAATAAATGTCACTTTCTTTTTGTAGAATAAATTACTCTACTGGAGTGTGATCATTGTGGTTTTAACCTGGGACCTGCAGTAAAAGATTATACAGCAACCTCTGACCTTTTTGATTTCTGCTTTACTCTTCTATTGTCAAGGGAATGTCCCCGATCAGGTGAAAGTAAAATGTTTAATGGGCCATATCACAGTAATATCTTACATTGAGTCAAATTGATAAACTCTAGCCAAAAAATTCTTAGCACCTGGCACTTCCACGAAAACCGCAAACAGTGATTGCACATATGGGAGCTCAAAGGCTAGAGGTCATGACAGCAGTTTATTACGTGCACCTTACAGTGATCATTTTCCCTAGGAAATTAACCCCTCTCTAATACAAATGCATCAAGTGAGCTCTTCATGGCATTTCAATCATGTTGGTTTAGCTAATCAAAGAATACGTGTGCAGCTAAAGTGGTGACAAGATGCAATTAAGTAAAAGATGATTGATTAGGTTTCAGTGTTTGCTCAATAATGCATAAAAAAGATGATTGTGAGATCAGAATGCTGGGTACCAACTTAGAGGTCCTTATTGTGCAGCTGCAGGTCTGTGATGGTGGCAGACAGATTGTTCCCAGCATTCAGGAGGGGTTACTGAGCTGTATGGTCCTGGGTCCCAGCCAGGCTCGGGGCTGAGCAGCAGCACCTTCTCTGGCATGGCTGGCTGTGGAGGGGATGACTCCTACTCTGCACTGCTGTTCTCAGCCCCCCATTACCACCACACTGTGGGACAAACCCTGAGGCTGGTGGCAAATGTGTTTAACAGTCATGACGTGGAACACAATTATGTCACTGTAAGTAAAGGGTGGTGGTTGCAACAACTTATATTGAAACACCATCCTGGGCATTTTGAACTCCTTTTCTTCTTTAAACTCTGTCATCAAAAACATCCAGATGACGTGGCCCAGTTGCAGCTAACAATGAGGTGAGGCTCACATTAGCTGAGTGGATTTTTCAGACCCATCCTGCAGAAAATGGATGAGCATCACCAGGTCCTTTGAAGGGCCATTGCTCAGCCACCTCACTGTACATCATGGCATGGGGAAGGTCCTTCATGACAGCAAACCTTCCAGGGATGATGTGAACTCACTTACCTCTTCCTACTGAGCTCAGGACTCCTTTCCGCTTTCCTTAAGTCAGAAGTATATCCCAAGCCACCACCCCAGGTGCCCCAGGGAGGCCAGCTCTGGGACGCTGCTGAGATTCTGTGAGCTAGGGTTTGCAAGAGCACTTCCATGAACCCTGTGATAAGAACTCTGGTTGTTCCTGAAAGTCACTAGAAATGAACAGTAGAATTGTGAGGAAGGGAAGGTTTCTCACAAGCCTGGAGCTTAGTCACAGCAGTGAAAGGACAGAGCCTGCTGAAGCACGACACGACTGTGGGAGCTGGAGCCACAGTACCCAGAGTCTCAGTGCTCCAGATCGTGCTTTACACAACCCCGTGCCCAAACCACCTCACTCGTTTCTGACCAGCAGCTGCTCCCTGTGCATTCAGGTTCCTCCCCAGCCCCTCTTCTTTAGCCTGGGGGCACAGGGAAGCCATAGCCAGAGCTTTGTGCTCCCTGATTAGGGAGATACTTGGTCACAAGAGACACATGAAGTCTTTTGGCTTTGGTGGGCTTTCAGCATGGTCCTGCTCCTCTGAGGCTGATCCGACTGCACTGATGGCTGCAGCCGGGTCCCCTTGGCTCAGTGCACCCTGGTTCTGCTCAGCAGCAGCTGTGAAGGGGCTGCAGATACCTTGCATTGGGAACTCTGTTTTTAAGTGAACACCCTATTTTTTAGCTGTGTATGGCTGTATTACTTGTATATTTATATATTCTGTATTTATGTTATCGAAATGTAGTATTTTGTAGCTGTCTGTTACAATTTGTTTAACTTGTAAAAAATATGACTATGCTCTCTCATATTTAACCAGCTCCTTTCACTGTAGATTCGCTGCTCCTTTCCCTCTGTGTTGGAAACAAACCACCATAATGTATGTAGATTGGAATTTTTTTTAATTTAATTATTTGTCGTTATTAAATTATTTATTAGTGTTTTTAAATTTCATTTCACTGCATTTTTTTTCCTGCCACCATTGCCTGGAGCTAAGATCCATGAGTTTCTCACGCACTGTGTTCCTTCCCACGTGCATGTGCACGTGCACACACACACACACACACACACACACACTCTAAACAAAAGCAGAAAAAGAAAAAAAGAGAGAGATTACACTTCAGTATATTTGTAAATAAAAGCAACCTGTAAACTAAGCGGGCTTTTCTCTCGGTGTGAAGTTTTTTCTTTGCTCTCTCAGACTGAGAGCGTGTTCTCTGTGTCCTGGGGCTGGCACAAGTGTTCTCACAGGTGGGAGAGCCCAGGCATGGG